TGAATTTAATGTATTAAAAATTTATGTTTTGAAGTGGTGAATGGTGCTGTACTTCAATTTCAGCATATCAATAATGGAGAAATCTTTGGAAACAGTGCCTCTTGATAGAGGTAAACAAAGTAGGCAAATATTACCACATAGATGGTGTCAAGAGAAGTAGGAACTGTAACTAGTGGTATAAGCCAAGTTCGTCACTAGGCCAAAAGGAAATGTATAATTAATATTGGGATGGGCAAAGACACTGGGAATGGATGCTGAAACTACGGTGTTGGAAAATGTCACAATTTGGATGAGTGAGTAACACCTGGGAAGAGAGTGATCTTGAGATGGGGATATGATAACACTAGGGTGATGAGGAGGAAGATTGTGACTTTGTGGTGAAATTGAGCAGGTGGAACACTGGGGAGAGGAAGTAATTATATAATGATATTAGGCTGTGGATAGGGGAGATAGAAATACTTGGGTCATACATGGTTACACTTGAATGGGGAGGTGGAGACACTGAGACTTTAGTAGTTTTATAGAAGATAGAATGCTCATGCTTTGTGAATACTGATAATTACTAAATTTTAGAAAATAACTGTTAAATTAGAAGAAGTTCCAGATGCATTACGTTAGAAAATGGGAGAATTCTTTTAAAGTTAGTTTCCTCAAAGTGAGATCTCTATTTATCTCTTTCTTAGAAAGCTAAGAATTACTTGAGATGAGTATTAATCAGTGATGTACAGTCAGAGGAGAGGAGAGGCAGAGCCTCACCTGTCATGAAAAAATAAAATATCTTTACCTGTAGCACTAGTGATACAAAAGATAACAAGGGAAGGGCTGCGCTAGGTAAATAAACCGTAAAAATAATAATAGCAGTAATAATAATAATTCAGTACTGAGTATCTGAGATCTCACTGGAACAGTGGGATAGGGGTTCTGATAGAATCACATTAAAGAAAAAAACGTAATTGTTCAAGTTTCATGTCTTATAAAGTGCTTGTTTTGGGTGTAGTATCCTCAATATCTTTAGTGATCCAACTGTTCAGCTTGTATGAAAAACAGAAGGCAAGGAAAACCAATGGTATAGTATGTCCAAGTTCATATGAATAAGATAAACAAATATGTGCAGTCAACTCACATTTAAAAGAGCTATAGCCAACTCTGGTGTGAAGAGAGTACAGCGGTATAATCCCCGCTTTAAAGGATATGTGGTGGGAGTCTTCCAGAGGGATGGTGTCCAACACTCATAAGAAGGATATATAAAAACAACTAATAGTGCTCTCAGTAAATTAAGATAGGCAATAAACATAGAATAAAAAGGTACTCACAAGTAAAGTGCAGGCCAACTGCACTTTGATATCAGCATTGCTGGTATGATCCCAACCTAGGATATACATGAAGTCCCACGAAGATAATTGGTAGACAGGTAAAAAAATAAATAAAACAAATTCCAATTGGAAATGTGTATTAAAAAGATAATTGGCAGAGAGTTGTAACCAAAAATCCTTTATTAAATAAAACACACAATTAAAATAACCATAACACGTGTCATCTTATCAGACATTTTCAAATGGTATGTGTCATAATACCTGGCTAATAGGCTTTATATAGGGATAAGTTAAGTTGAAATTGGCACCAAAAATGTTTCTGCCAATCAGAAACAATGCTTATATATTTATTAAAAAATTATTAGATAAATATCTTTAATTATACTGTAATACTTGGCAAGTAATTATAGTTAAACATTCCTTAAAAACGAGGGGGGGAAAGGGGGTGTATATATGGAAAAAGAAAATCCGTGGACACATGACCATTGTCGCGTCATTAAAATAAAGCCTCATGGGAAATGTAGTATGCCGTACATGTAAATCATAGGGCGGCCGCATCCGATACAAGGGGCATGCACAGCTGTCAACTTGGCAGGCGGGGTGCGCACCTCCCTACGTACAGGGGTGGTCGCAGGCTGGCTGATTATTACGGGCATATTGTGAAAGATAAACAAGGTGCTCGGCGGCCATATCAAGTATGGCAATTAGCCACAATGTAGAAAGCTGGTGTCTTGACCCTTAAGCTACACTTAGAAGATTTTGACCCAAAACAAACCCACGAGATACCCACACGGCTGCGGCAGAGGTAGCAGACCCTGAGATCAGGAGTTTTGGACCCCCTGGAGGCAGTATGAGGCTTTGGAGGCTGCGGCCTACTCAGGAGAGGAGCGAGATGGACAGCAGCCACCATGCCTCCCTTTCCAGCTGCCACATGCTGACTTCTTGAGTCGCTTGCCGGTCCAGTTTCCCCCCTGCCCCCTTTGGGCTGGGGGGGGTGATCCCGGTCCTCACTGGGGAGAGCTCAAAATATGAGGAGCTTAAGGTGCCCGGAACACCCAAGGCCTACCTTGCAAAATGGCAGCGACTAATGGCACTTCACCAACTGCTCCTGCACCATGGAGCCCACAAGAGCCCCGGTCCCATCATCGAACCTGGAGGAGAACATCACAGAGTGTCTAACGACAAATCAAGAAGGGGAGATGAGAGCAATTCAAGTCCCGAATACTATACCAAGATGCTAGCAGCGCGGAAGCCAGGGCTCACAGAGAAGCACGAGCACAGCAATGTGGATTACACCCCCACTCCTGTACCTTCCAGCAACACACAGGGAGAGAGGTGAAGCCGAGCCAGGCATGAAGAATGGTGGCCTCCCATCTACAGACATTGGCTAAAAGAAATAAGTGGAACTGCCAAGCGGTGGTACTAGATGCCAACATGTTATAATCCTGATGCCAGCCTTGTGGGCACTGCAGAGACTAACGTTTTCTCTTTGGGCGGGGTCCTGGTCCCCACTGGGGAGAGCTCAAAATATGAGGAGCTTAAGGTGCCCGGAACACCCAAGGCCTACCTTGCAAAATGGCAGCGACTAACGGCACTTCACCAACTGCTCCTGCACCACGGAGCCCACAAGAGCCCCGGTCCCACCATCGAACCTGGCGGAGAACATCACAGAGTGTCTAACGACAAATCAAGAAGGGGAGATGAGAGCAATTCAAGTCCCGAATACTATACCAAGACGCTAGCGGCGCAGAAGCCAGTGCTCACAGAGAAGCACGAGCACAGCAATGTGGATTACACCCCCACTCCTGTACCTTCCAGCAACACACCGGGAGAGAGGTGAAGCCGAGCTAGACATGAAGAATGGTGGCCTCCCATCTACAGACATTGGCTAAAAGAAATAAGTGGAACTGCCAAGCGGTGGTACTAGATGCCAACACGTTATAATCTTGATGCCAGCCTTCCTGGCACTGCAGAGACTAACACTTTCTCTTAGGTTTGATCTGTTACTGCATATCTGACTCAACTAGCCGCTTCTTTAAAATTGTCACCAAAGAGGAGTATGATTACTATGACCCACTTACCCCTGACAAGTAAAACGAGACTGCCTAGCTTACCACTCAGACCACACATGAGACCCACTTTTGTTTATCAGCCATTCCTTACTACCCAGTGGTACTATTGTTAATAGCATGGTCAGCCTGCACAGCATGACTTATCCTCATTTCTCACTTATATCACCATAGACTTGCTAACTGTCCTTTCATATTAAGACCACTCATACAGTCAGTCCACGCAAAAAGTTTTGAAAACACTACTGATTTCATGTCTGACACCTTTATAATGATTGATTTAATATTTTGTCCCTGCGCTGAATATACAAAAAAATTGTGCCATTATCTACTGCCATGCAACTGCTCAATATGTATTGTTTTACTAGCTTGTACTTGCTATCATGACAACTCAAGCCTGTTTGTAACTCGCAGCACTACAACAATAAAGAATATAAAAAAAAGAAATGAGGAAAGGGGATTTATATTGTATAAACACTTGAAAACACAGAATACATAATGTAACTCAGTGGGTGTAATATGACAATATATGTATAAAAATATGTATATATATATAAAACCAAACTGATTAAAGGAAATGGGTATGGTTTGTACAACCCAATTTGGTACAATCCACAATAACATTTAGGCAATAAAATTAATTCCACATTGCAAAAATAAAAATAATACATATGAGATAAAAAATAAATAATAGTAAATATAAAAATATAAAAAGAGCATATATAAAATACTGAAAAGCACTGGGAGAGGATCATAAAATCTAAGATAATATTCTGATTAAAGATCATAAAAAGTTATGCAAATCAAAATCAGCATTTAAACCTCGAGGGGCTGTAGATTAAAAACCCACTCCATTTCCAGGAGTGCCCAAAATGTTTTTTATATTCCCACCTCACCATGGTATCTTACATTTTTTTTATTCCTATACATCTTTTTGGAGTTTGGGATCCCTATTGTAATGGATAAAGTGCTTCGATACAGAGTGGTTTTGGTATCCATTTTTAATATTTCTACAGTGTTTGCTTAGTCTTGTTTTTAAACATCTGGTAGTCATTCCTACATACTGGAGGCGCTTCAGTAGGTAAATAAAATTTTTACTATTACACCTAATAAAATCTTTAATAATATAACTTTTGTTGGTTTAATTTGTTTTAAAATGGGTGACTTTAGACTGGGTAGAGGAATCCGTACTCTTGCAGACAATACACTGTTTGCATTTATAAAATCTTTTTGCCCCTTCTAAAAATTTATGTTTTTTTAATTGATTTATTATCTTAAGTGTAATTATTAGTTAAAATAGCTCTAAAGTTTGGTGCACCTCTAAAAACAATATTAGTTTTTTTCAGGTCATCTTTTGTTGTTGTAATTAAAGATTATAGGGAGAGAAGGGGAATCTGAAGGTTTTTTATTTTTATAGATTAAAAGGTCTCTTAGTCGATTGTTAATACTTTCTATAGTATTGTTCAATTTAGTAGGAGAGTAGTTCATTTCAATAAATAGTTTGTTTTTTTACAGAAAAGGGGGCGTGTTTGGCGCTTCGGCAAGATGGCTGCCTGAGACCTCGGCTCCTGATACCGGGTCCCGTTAACAGCTGCTAAAAGCTACTTACCCGATCCAGATGGGCCGCACAAAAAAGTCCTGTCCCCAGCAACCACTGCGCAACAGCCAGACACCTTTCCGGGCTGGCCCGATGGAGCAGTTCCTGACCACGTTGGCAGAGCTTGCGGGTACTGCGGCCGCACACCACGTGGAAATGTCCTCGGAGCCCGACAGCCCGGGACCCTCTGAGATTAGCGAGGCAGCCTCACCCTACCCCATGTCGCAGCTGAGAGCGGACCTGCGTGCCATCTCACAGGCGATGTTCACTAAAACAGATGCAGGGGCTCTGGAGGCCTCCCTTAAAGGTACAATCTGGGCAGAGCTAGCAGCAATCAGGCAGGTTATCATTGCCCTCCAGGATAGGGTGACCACACTGGAGGCTGTAGCTACCACCTCCACCCAGCAACATCAGGCTGCAGAACTAGCAGCCACAAGGCAGGGGAATATGCTGCTGGATGTAAGGAGGCAGGTAGAAGACCTAGACAATAGGGGCAAGAGGTGCAATATAAGGATCCAGGGCCTACCTGGCAGCATGCAGGGGGAACCGCTAGAGGCCATGCTGCAAACACTCTTCAACTTTATCCTGGGAAATGAAGACCCAGAGACCTTCCAACTGGGCCATGTGCACAGGGCCTTCCGCCAAACCAGGTCAGATGGCACGCCCCAGGACATAGTGTGCTGCTTACACTCGTTCTAACAAAAAGAACGGATAATGCATCAGGCCAGAGACCGCCAGGTATGGCAATTCCGCAACGCAGTGGTCAGTTTATACCAAGACCTGTCCCCGCTCTCTCTGGACGCCCAACGAGCGCTACGCCCTATCATGAGTCTCCTTCACAGCCGCAACCTGACATACCGATGGGGCTTCCCCTTCTGCCTACATGCACGGTCCGGTGAAGCCTGGGCTACCATCAAGACGCCAGAGGATGTGCTGGGGTTTCTCAGGGCCCTTGAGCTAACAAGCACGATGGTTCAAAACTGGATTCTGCACCCGACTATCCTGCCGCCTGGAGAACAAAGGGCACGCCAGCGCCAGCTCCGTGCGCCCTGCCCACCTCCTACCACAGCTGGGCAGGCCACGCCGCACAGACCGGAGGAATGAGAGAGCTGAGATGCACCCTGGAGCTCTGAACCAAGCCACCAAGTTACAGGTCTGGGGGTTGTTGATGGGGGGGGGGTGCCTTGGGGAGAGGGAGGTCTTAGAGGGAACTGCAGCCACACTGGTGACATTCAATCCTACTCTCTGGACCCTTTAGAGGCAGTGCAGCTGATACCCCCAGACCCCTACATACACTCAACTTAGTGGCAACCCGAGATGGGAGAGCTGGGACCTGCCCAGGGGACACTAACAGGGACCTTGCCACACTATGATCCTGCTGGGTGGGGGTTCTGGACTGCTTGTTTTGGATGGGCTAAGACTCTGGAATGGGCTGAACGGGGCTTGGGGCGGGGGAGGCGGTTCGCCTACAGGGGGGATCTGGGTGCTAAAGGGACTGCGCCAGCCAAGGGGTCTGTGCCCCAACCTGCAAATGGTGGAGGGGCCTCGGGCCAACCCCTGGGGTACCTCTAGGGATGAGCCACGGTGACCTGTGTGCCCCTCGGGGGGGCGCCCGTGGCCCTCGGCTGCGGGGGGTACGATACACATCAGCTACAATTTGAATTCCAAGCTTAGGTCTGCTCTGTTCTCCTGCTGCTTCCCCTCCCAGTGTTCCTGGGTCCAGGGTTCCTAATTCCTGTTTGCACACAACACCAGACAGCAGTGCACCCTAGTTGGCTCAGTTGAAAGCAGGGCCGAGTTGAAAGCAGGCCACAGACAGGGGTGGTTCCACACTACAGATGGCTCGCCTGGGCTTCTGTGGGGGGGGGGGAATGCAGGCCATACTGGGCTCCTACCCCGCCTTTGGGAGTCAGGGCTTGCGTCCTATAATATGTAATATAGCGCACCATCCTTGGCTCCGGCGGGAGGCGTGACACGGCACTGCCCCAGCTGCAGTATATACCAAAAAACACTATGCAGGGACGGCCTTAGGTAGCCGCGGGTTAGGTCCTCTCACCACCTCTTAGCGGCACATACCCTGGGGGATGGTTGGTTGGGGGGGACCGCGCTAGTGCCCCAGCAGCCTAGGGATGGGCCAACATGAAGAGGAGATGACATTTGGACCGGGGGGCTACACGCTGACTGGGACTAATGGGGCGGGAGACTGAACCGACACAGTTGAGACTAACACATGACACTTGGATAAGACACACTGAGTAAGGGGTATAGCACGGGCGCCGGGCCGTGCATCCCTGAGGATCGCCAATGTGGGAGGAGTGACAAATCTCTGCACAGGCACTGTTGGGACCACCACCCTAATATTGGTGGCCCCTGGTGAACTGGGTAGACACGTGTGGTCCATTGGGCACCTTAAGTGCCTACTGCATTTTTAAATATTGTACTTTCTTTCCTGCCTCCTTTGGGGGCTTCCTCCTTTCTCTGTACTAGCTCTTCTTTCCCCTCTTTGTCTACCCTCCTCTCTCCCTCTTCGTTACTTCAGCCCAGCTTCACAGGTTTGGACCATGACCCCCCCGACCTTCGCACGGCTCCCTCTACACATCCGTACACTCAACGCGGGGGGCCTCAACATCCCCAAACACCGCACTAGATTGCTGTGGGAACTGTCGTCATCCCGGACGTCAGTTGCAATGATACAGGAGACACACTTCAAGTTAGGCTCAGAACAAGCACTTAAAGACAGGAGGTTCCCTAGTGTCTACTTCGCATCGCACCCTCTGGGTAAGAAAGCCGGAGTGGCAATACTGTTCTCGCAAGGGACCCCGTTCGTCGTCTTGGATCAAAAGACGGACCCGGAGGGACGATACCTTTTTGTGAAAGGGCAAATCAACTCGCAGATCTACACCTTCGCCACGATATATGCCCCTATCTCCCGCCATCGCATATTCATCACAAAGACGCTGCGGCTGCTGGCAAACGTCTCGGAGGGGCTACTGATATTGGGAGGTGACCTCAATGCATCATTGGACCCTTCCATGGACACGTCCAGGAGAAGGAGTGCGATCACATATCCATGTATTTGAAGTATCAAGAAAGCCTTGTGGACACTACACCTAGTGGATTGCTGGAGGACCGTACATCCGGAGACAAGGGACTATTTGTACTAGTCGGCAGTGCATGGCTCTTACACTAGAATAGATGACCTCTTTCTCCCGCAACAATACCTGTCCCTCCTCCAGGACTCGACCGTCGGATGCATCACATGGTCCGACCATGCCCCGGTGTCGCTCCAGATGACCTCCCCCCTCTTTAAACCAAAGGAGCGAACATGACGTCTGAATGAGTCGCTACTTATGGATGAAGAGGTACGGACCACTGTCTGAGAAGCTTTAGTTAACTACTTCAAGGAAAACACCAATCCAGATGGAAGGCCCACAAGAGTGTGATCCGAGGGGTTCTTATCTCAATAGACACAAGAGAGCTGGGGCGGAATGTATACGGAGCATCCTAGACGGCATTGCGACTGTGGAACTACTCCACAAACAAACCTTCAGCGACTCAGACCTACGTGAGCTCCTCTCGCTCAGAAAGGACCTAGCGACTCTCATCACTCAACAACGTTTCTCCATGATACAAAAGTCTAGGCGCTTCTTCAATGAACATTCAATGAACATTCCAATAAGTGTGGGCGCCTACTGGCGAAAATGCTCAAAAAACGGCAAGAGAGATTTCATATACATAGACTCCGCGTGGGCCCCACCTGTCACTCCGAACACCCATCTGAAATGGCAGAACTATTTCATGCCTACTACACAAAGCTCTATAATATCTCCAAAACTGCAGAACGGGCACTCTCCGCTAGACAACTCGTGAAGAAGGAGGAGTACCTCTCGACACGTGTCCATAAGACAATCTCACAAGACGTGGCATCCACTTTGGACCGGGAGATCACCATAGAAGAACTCCAGGGGGCAATCAAATCCTCCAAAACAGGAAAGACACCAGGCCCAGACGGCCTCCCACTGCAATACTACAAGAAATTTGGAGACGTCCTTCTATCACCGCTGACGGCCTCATTTAACTCGTTATTGCAAGACGACAGATTGGGTAGGGAATCACTCATGGCCCACATCACCATTCTGCCTAAAGAAGACAAAGATTCAGAACAATGTGCCAGCTATCGGCCGATTTCCTTACTCAACTCCGACTGCAAACTACTGGCCAAGATACTAGCAACCAGGCTGAAGACAATCCTCCCATCTCTAATACACTCGGATCAGAGCAGGTTCATACCAGGAAGGAAAGCGAGGGACAACTCCATCAGGCTCCTCAACGTTATGCACCTATCTTCAACTTCGCGCCATCCCTTGGTCATACTCTCAACAGATGCAGAAAAAGCTTTTGACCAGGTGGACTGGCGGTACATGCTTAACACACTACAGAAGATGGGATTCGGGGAACCTTTCTGCAAATGGATCCGGACTCTTTACTCTGTACCAACGGCTAGAGTGCGCGCGAATGGGGGCCTCTCCACGCCAGTACGAATTACGAACGGGACGCGGCAGGGATGCCCTCTCTCCCCCATACTATTTGTCCTCATGCTGGAACCCTTTCTTTGTGCTCTTCGGTCCAACCCCTCGATCCATGGTTTCCGATTTGCAGGAGTGGAGCATAAGGTCTCGGCCTACGCGGACGATCTCTTGCTCTACATAGAGCAACTGCGAATCTCCCTCCCGAACATTTTTGCCGAATTCAAATCGTACGGAAACATCAGCAACTTCAAACTCAATCTGGATAAGTCAGAGGTGCTCAATGTCACGTCTACAACACGAGATCTGGACGATCTAAAGTCACAATTTCCCTTTCACTGGTGCACAGACCGCATCAAATACCTGGGGGTCTGGGTCCCTAAGAACCTACACCAGCTGTACCAACTGAATTTACAACCATTGCTATCCAGCCTCTGCTTGGATATGAAAGCGTGGACTACGCCGTATTTTTCATGGACGGGACGCATCAACTCAATCAAGATGAATATCCTCCCTCGAATCTTACATCTGTTCCAGACCATTCCGATCGACCTCCCACCCGCCTTTTTCCGATCCCTTAATTCGGCTCTGATAAAATTCATATGGGAGGGGCGTAGACCATGTATACGATTGGGACACCTGATGAGACCAAAGGGGGACTTGGCCTACCAGATATGGTGGGTTATTACAAAGCAACACACCTGTCGAGAATTGTAGCTTGGCACGAAACAGACACACAGAAGATCAATGCTGGAGAGAGATGCTTCGAAGGGAGGTATCCCGGGAGCGGTATGGCTGCCGGATGACATAGCCAAACAATTGATTCGAGAACCACCCTTTGTTGGGGCAACTCTGAAGGTTTGGTACTGGACACGCTTTTGGCTCTCCCTAACAACGCTAACAGGACCAATGTACCCAGTTATAGGCAACCCAGCATTTCCTCCTGGACGGGAGGCAGGGGCCCTGGGGTTCCTGGGGAAGGGACGACACTTATGCCTCTCAGAACTCTGAGTGAATTCTTGCAAGACCGCGAACCAACTATGACTGCGCGTTTTTGGTATCACCAATTGATTCACTTCCACGAGTCGGTTACCAACCAACTACAGCTTACAAGACCTCTGCTCCCATTTGAGGAAACTTGCTCGAGGGGTGGAGGCCTCCATCGAGGTATATCGATCCTCTACACACCCCTACAGCAGGCGGATGCAGTCCCTCCTATGAAGTTGCAGGCGCAATGGAAAGAGGCACCACACACCTCGTATACTCCAACTGAATGGGACAAGATAGCCCTGTGCACGTCCCTCAGCTCAGGATGTGCCAAATATCAGGAAATCTACTATAAAATACTCACTCAGTGGTATGACACACCACATAAGATTCATAAATACATACCAGAGGTCCCTGAGCACTGCTGGAGATGCAAGAGGGCGGTGGGGACTCTCCTTCACATTTTCTGGGCATGCTCACTCATAACACCGTACTGGGAGCAAATATACGAGGCGATGCGAGAGGTAGCTGAAGAGGGGGTTGCTTTTGACCCGGCAGATATCCTACTCAACAGAACAGACTTACCCATATCGAGGTATAAGAAAACGGTGTCCCGACAACTCCCAACGGCAGCGAAATCACTGATCCCAGCGCTGTGGCGGCAGAAACAGCCACCAACATTCCAAGCCTGGTTCCAGAGAGTGGAGGAGATCAGACAAGTTGAAGCCGAAATAGCGGTGGCAGGCTGGAGAAACACGAGAAGATCTTGAGGACGTGGACGTACTACCTATGCAACAAGAACGACCCTGGAAACCAACCCGCCGGGTAAGGGATGGAGTGAGGGACCTGAACGCGCATGCGGCGTGGTGGATGGGGGCGACCCGCAAGACTGGGGCCGAGCTATCCAATCCAGTCTGTTTCTCACCCCCCTTTCTTACTATCACTAATTTCACCATACCTTCTCCCTCTTCCCCATGCTTGTACAGCTGAGCTAACATAACAACCCTACCTAATAGGGCGCACCCGCCTCTTTGACCACTCAATTCTCAGCCGATACTCTAATAGAGACAACCCGACTAGAGATAACCGCAGGGCATTTCACTCCTCCTTCGGGCGCCTAACCAACGGGATGCGAGGTTCACTCCAGACACCCAATGGGGACTCCCCTTTGGGGTTTGTGAACTGGAGGCAAACACGCCAAACCTGAAGGGGTTAGACAGATACACGACATACAAAATTGAGTTCAACCACCAATCCATGAACACACCCAGCCACCTAATCCACAATCCATGAACACACCCAGCCACCTAATCCACGATGTTTAAGGGAATGTTTTATGGGGGGGAGCAAGCTGAAAAAAGTACCCACTCGGATCTATGTATCTTGAAGCGTTATGAACCTTAGAGCGTTATTTAAACACTACTCTTTCCTTTCTTTCTGTATCACCTAATGTTTTGAAAAATAATCTAATAAACAAAGATTGACTAAAAAAAATATATATTTTTTTATTAAAAAAGGGCTTGTTGGTTAAAATCTTCTATGTGAGAGCAATTCCTACGTACATGCAGGAATTGGCTCTTTGGAGCACTTTCAAACCACGGTTTGTAATGACAACTCGTTTGGTCTCTGGCTATATTTGTGCACACTTTTAAAAAAAAAAAAACATTTTTGTCTGAATTATCCCATTTTTTATAAAAATATGTAGATCTAAAAAATTGATAGACTCCTTGCTGTGCTCACAGGATAAGATAATACCTCTGTTATTTGTATTTAAATGTGTGATAAAAGAGTTGAGAGCATCCTCAGAGCCTTTCTTACCTGTAGCACTGACTAGCTCAGCCTCCTCGCAATGGACGGAGCACAGATCTGTTAAAACATTATCAGGCGTGCAGTTTATCCCTTCAGACAAGTTTTGCAGAGGGGAGGCTGAGCTATTTTTTTTTTTTTGAGCCATTGAGATCAGAAGGACGACAGACTAGCTGAAAAGCACCATTGTTCCAAGCAGGCCAATAAAAATGTTGCTATGAGAGCCGCCTCTCATTGACAGACACAGGAAGGGGACATGTCTTAACACACAGGTATCCAAAGAGCAAGGAGGGTGTCAGTGAGAGGCAGCTACCATAGCTGCCTCTCCTGCGGCAAGGCAGTTCCCATCTGCATTAAATAAATGGGGACTTGGCACCATGTCCCCATGGTAGGGCACCTAACTGTCACCCACACAGCCCCCATTGAATGTCCCCCACATACAATTCCTCCCTTCCCCTGGTGACTAGGAGTTCCCAAGCCTTCTTTTTTTAAACCCCCAAAAAGGCAAAATAAAAAATCATCAAAGTTGCATCTGTTAAAATAAAAAAAGGAAGTCTTTAAAAATAAAAAAAAAGAATGCCAAAAAAATGAATCCATCTTCATTCCGCTCGAGCTCCGTGCAGACCGAACTTGCAGGGTGGGAAATCTTTATAAAACTTCAATTGACTGTTATTATTAATATTATTATTACTATTATTATTGCCATTTATTAGCGCCAACAGATTCCGTAGCGCTTTACAATATTATTTAATTTATAAAATATTTTACCAGGAAAGATACATTCAGATTTCTCTTGTTTTCAAGTATGTCCTGGGTCCACAAAACATTGCATTGAAACAATAGGGTACAGTAAAATACAAAAACAATATTAATACACAATAGATACAAAATTTTATATACAACAAGTAGGAATATATATAATCAACGATGAGAGGGGGGATTTAACTATAAATAGGAAAATTACAAAAAAACTTACAGGAATGATAGGTTGAAGAGGACCCTGGTCAAACGAGCTTACAGTCTATAGGAGGTGGGGTATAAAACACAATAGGACAGAAAATAGCAATCAAACAAGGTGGGAGTGAAGCAGAGCTGGAGGAGAGAGTAGAGTGCTGCCCTTTAGGAGAGAGCAAGAGACAGGTATATAAGGTACAGCTTACTCTGGGAGGCCATAAGTTTGCCTAAAGAGATGGGTTTTAAGGCACTTCTTAAACGATTGAAGACAAGAAGAGAGTCTGATGGCGGTAGGCAGGCTATTCCATAGGAAAGGAACTGCCTGCGAGAAGTCTTGAAAGCGTGAGTTGGCCGTATGGGTGCGAGCAACTGACAGGAGAGCGGAGAGACCAAGAACGGGAGAGCGGAGAGACCAAGAAACGGCATACCTATGGATCTGTGAAGAGATATAAGAGGAGCTAGACTTGTTCAGTGCTTTATAGATATGGGTTAGCACTTTGAATTGGCTCCTATAGGATACAGGAAGCCAATGTAAGGCCTGACAGAGGGATGAGGTATAAGAGGACCGACTAGAGAGGAGGTGGCGGCCATCTTGTT